CCCCAAAACCCCAAAACCCCAAAACCCCAAAACCCCTACTTCATAATTCATATTTGAATTCAGAATAGAATATGGATAAAAATTTCAATTCTGCAAAATCTTTTCTATCTCTAGCTTCTCCTCCAAATTTCTCTAACTAATTTGCCTCAAAGCTGGCTGGCCAGCCAGCTTGCTTGCCTCAAATATTTGTCAAGGAATTTAGAGCCTTATAGAGGAAAGATTTATTCAAAAATTTTATGTATTTTTTGTGAGGGCAGAACTACTTGGTCGAATTAGAGAGGTCCCTGGTCGAATTTCTCAATCGATTTAGTAGAACTCTTCTCAAAGATGGTAAGGTCCTGAGACTTTGAGTCATTAGAAGTAGTGTAGTAATGACTCATGTCAGGCACACTCTTGATTCTGAAGAGCTCTGGTGTGTCACCAATGAGCTCTTGGTCTGGATTTTTGGGATATGATATGGGAATATCATAAATACTGAAGTTCATATTTGAATCTTTGCCATGCTGATGATCCTCTGAATAGGTAAGACTTGAGTCACAGGATAGGCTGAGCGAAACTGCACTCTCATCATGCTTAAATTGCTGGCATTTGGAATTTTACAGAAATATTTAGACTAGCAAAACTATCATTTTGGGAAAGAAGTTCTTCAATGTAGTATTGATAAACCTCTTCATCACAAAATGATAAAAGGAACATAATGATCCTAAATTTTGCTAATCTATTTTCCACCAAAAGCCATTGCATCCAAGAAGTCAGAGCAATTGAGCTGAACGTTTTATCTTGCAGTTCCCTCCCATCTCAAAAGTTTTTACGCTTAACAAAATTTTCGCTTGAGATCTTTTCCAGGCTATCACAAATGACTAGAAGCTTATCAATAAGTTTGAGAGCCTTAGCGATAAGATCCCTGATCTTTGAAGCAAGATCTAGTCTCTCTTGCCACTGTTGGGTTTTTGTCAGAAATTGCTTCAATGATGAAAGAGAATCCAATGAATTTTCAGATAATGCTTCGATGTCTGAATTGGCTGGCAGAATCCTTTTCTCCAAGTTTACTTCAAAAGAATCATCAATTGGATAGGACTTGAGGTTATCTGAGAAACTTAGACTCTCATTCTCACCAGAAAATAAATCATTTTTAGATTGGAGAAGTGCATCTTGATCTTGAAAAGTGACTTTAAAATCATCTACATCTCCTTTTTGAGTTTTTGAAGACTTATTTAAAGTATTAGTGTTTTTAAACTTCTTCAGATTCTGAGTATGAATGGGCTTGATCAAATCCTTCTGTTCAATCTGAGTTTGCTCAACAATCTCGTTTTCCGAGTGTAGATCTTCATATAAATAGAGAAAGGATGGGAACTTCAAAGTATAAAAATATTCATATGCAGTCATCGATAGGAAGTCAATTATATCCGTTTCATCTCAGCTATCATATTCTGAAAAGTCACTTTCTTCAGAGCTAAGGTCGTCTGAATATTGGCTACTGGTCTCAAATTCTTCTTGATTCGTATCTTTAAAATCTACATCCAGAGTCAAAACTAGATTCCTAACCTTCAAAACACCTCTGAAACCTCATATTTCAACTCCTAACTCTAATTTTCCCAATTTTCCAAAATCTCAAAAGTCAATACTTTTCCTTCATTCCTTTACCCTTATCCTCATAAAAATCTCTATAAATCTTACCTTCAGGACTTAATCGTTCTTTGAAAATTACAAAGCCTGCTTTATCTCTCATGTAATTGTGGTCAATTAGTATTAATTATACAACTTTCTGTTCTTATTCCTTTAAATGGGGTTTTGGGGTTTTGGGGTTTTGGGGTTTTGGGG